CCCCCCCCCCCCCCCCCCCCCCCCCCCCCCCCCCCCCCACCGCGGCCATGACTTTGTTCAGGCTCACCACCCAGGCCTACTGCAAGATGCTGCTACACGCCGCCAAGTACCCGCACTGCGCCGTCAACGGCATCCTGGTGGCCGAGAAACACAAAAGGAAGGACGGCCAGCCCGTCCTCTTCGTGGACTGCGTCCCCCTCTTCCATGGCACCCTGGCTCTCGCACCCATGCTGGAGGTGGCCTTGACTCTGGTAAGAGGCGGGGAGAACGGCGCGTTCAGAGGGAAGGTGCTGGAAATTCCTCGGCAGGTCTGGCAGCATCTTGAGTCCTCAGCGAACCTTTTCTGGCTTTTTTTGTACCGAAGGGAGGTTACTCCCAGAGTCTGAAGTACTTTTTTTGAGAGAGGGCGAGAGGAAGGTGAAGCTTTCTTTTGGCACTCAAAAATGCTACTTTTTTTTCTTTTACTGTCCTCTCCATTCAAAATGTTAAGCGATCTTTGCCTCCCTTCAGCATTTTCCATAAACCTATGAATAATCCCGAATCTTCTAAACGCCAGTGTCACTGCTAGGATTTCATGTGTACGCGTTTCCAATTTGTTTCTTGCTCGACTCTCTTTGATTTGTTGTACGGGATGTGTTTAAGTGCTGGCGGGGATGTAATCGGGTCTTATCTAAACGCAAGTCTTTGTAATTATATACAGTTTCTAGACAGATAGTTTCTGTTTAGTGAGTGTGTTTTTGAGTTCTTTCATATTCTTGACAACAATACCTGGAGGTCTTGGGACAGTGTGTCCTGTACCTGCCTCTCAGCCAGAAACTCCAAGTTCAAGTCCTGTGATGGACTTTGGTCACAGTTTTTTTCTTCTATAAAGCAGCCAAACAGGTTGTCAACCTGTAAATTCTCCCAACAAATGCACATAGCCCACAGAGAGAAATGTTGGCACTTCTGTCCTTATCCATAGCTCTACTTTGCAAAATGCATGTAAAAGTACTTGTTACTGTCACAAAATTTTTAAAAAACTGCAGATGTTGAAGATCCGAAATATACAAAAACAGAAATTGATGGAGGAACTCAGCAGGTGTGGTACCAGCTGTAACGAGAACATTTTGAGTTCAGTAACCTTCAGATGGGCTCAAACTCTTTACAAAATAAAAACCAAAAGAACTGCGGATGCTGTAAATCAGGAACAAAAACAAAGTTGCTGGAAAAGCTCAGCAGGTCTGGCAGCATCTGTAGAGGAGAAAACAGAGTTAACGTTTCGGGTCCGGTGACCCTTCCTCAGAACTGACTCTTTACAGATGTACCCAATCTGCTGAGTTTCTCCAGAAATTTCTGTTTTTCTTTGTTACTGTAGCAACACAGGCTCCCTGAGGATCTGAAAAACTACTCTACCTTCACTGGTTGTCCTAGATGTGAAGAAGACGTATCTGCTTGCAGGAGAATCTAAAACTAGGAGTCACCCATTTAAAACAGAAATGGGATGTTATTTTTGAGGATTGAGAGTCTTTGGAACTCTTTCTAATGGTCTGGTGGAAGCAGAGTCCTTTAAAATTTTAAAGTCAGAGGTGGATCGATTCTTGTTAAGTAAGGACGGGAACAGCTATCGGGGATAGATGGGAATGCAGATTTGAGGTTACAAATCAGATTAGCAATGATCTTATTGAATGATGGAGCTGAATGGCCTATCCCTAGTCATGATTTATAGGTTCATAAATAACTTATTTCTGCCTCATCTACACACTACCACTTGGCAATGTAACCAGCAAACATGACATTGCTTCCATTTTCTGCTGACAAGTTCTAATTACATCCCAATTCCATTTGAAAATAATCACTTAACAGTTAAGTCTTGAATGAGTAGCGACCTCCTTCACATGGCCATCGGAATGACCGAAGCCATCGACTCTGATTTCTGGCGAAGGAAAGAGGGATGACTGTCAAAGCTCATGATTTAAGGAGTCATCTGAGCAGTGAATTCAAATCTTCAGACATTCTCAACTAAATGTCGAAGTTAGGATTTTGGGCCCAAACTTGGGCCACTCCTAATTAATCCTTGCTGCACTGATACCTTGGAGTCAGAGTTGCACAGCACTGAAACAGACCCTTCAGTCCAACTTGTCCATGCTGACCAGATATCCTCAATTAATCTGGTACCATTTGACCCATATTCCTCTAAACCCTTCCTATTCATGTATTCATCCAGATGCGTTTTAAATGTTTTAATTGTACCAGCTGCCTCCATGTCCCCTGGCAGCTCATTCCATACACACACCACCTTCTGCATGAAAAGGTTGCCCCTTAGGTCCCTTTTAATTCTTTCCTCTCTCGCCTTAAACCTATGCCTCTAGTTTTGGACTCCCCTACCCTGAGGAAAAAGGCCATGGCTATTCACCCTATCCTTGCCCCTCATGATTTTATAAAGTCACTCCTCAGCCTCTGACACTTTGGGGAAAATAGCCCCAGCCTATCTAGCCTCTCCGTATAGCTCTATAGCTCAAATCCTCCAACCCCGGCAAAATTCTTGTAAATATTTTCTGCACCCTTTCAAGTCCCACAATATCTTTCCTATAGCAAGGAGACTAGAATTGAATACAGTACTCCAAAAGTGACCTAACCAACATCCTGTACAGTCACAATATGACATCCCAGCTCTGTAGGCAATATCGATAAAGGCAAGTGTACCAAATGCCATCTTCACTCCCCTGTCTACCTGTGACTCCACCATGAACTATGAACTTGCACTGCAAGGTCTCTTTGTTCGGCAACGCACTTCAGGACCCTACCATTAAGTGTATAAGTCCTGCCCTGATTTGTCTTACCAAAATGCAACACCCCACATTTTGTGACAACTTGGCACCTTTTAAAGATAGTGAATTTTTAACAGGATGATAGGTCTCCTCTACTGCTGAGCAACTTCACTAATGTTGAAAATGTCAGAAGTCGCATGACACCAGGTTAAAATCCAACTGGTTTATTTGAAATCGCAAGCTTTTGGAGCACAACTTCTTCATCAGGTGCTGTAAGAGAGAAGAGCACACAGACCAAGTTTTTATAGGAAGAAATCAAAAGATCATACAACTAGTGTGAGTGTCGGATAATAACTCTCTGCAGGTGACCAAGAGTGTTAGACCATGGGTAAAGTGTCAACAGCTGAATAACCAGCAAAGGGATGACCTGTCATCCAATTAAGTGAGGCAGAGATTATTACAAAAAATTAAAAATAAGGTCGTGCTGGAGACAAACTAAATGGCTGGAGTAACAATAAGAAATACGGCTGCATGCTGAGAGTCTAACCAATGTAATAAGTAATTTAAAACTGTGCAAACTAATTAAGGTAGAGAGATCAGAATTTATCAAGGTAATGCTGTCAAAACAGGACAGTAAGGAAGATTTTACAGTTACAGAACAGTGCAGTCAAGGACATTCAGCCTCCAATCTTTGGGTAAGCATCCTCCAAGGCAGACTTTGAGATACACAACAATGCAGAATGCTGAGCAGAAACTGATAGCCAAGTTCTGTACCCGTGAAGATGGCTGAATCGTGATTTTTGAATTCCTGTCGTGCTGCATGTGACCCCACCACGTTATTCTGTATCTGTAAAATCTTCCTTACTGTCCTGCTTGCATCACCTTGATAAATTCTGATCTCTCTACCTTAATTAGTTTGTACAGTTTTGTATTACTTATTACTCTGGTTAGACCCTTGGCATGCAACTCCTATACCTATCATGTTATTTTAGTCATTTGGTTTGTCTCCAGCACCACCTTATTTTTAGCTTTTTGCAATTATCTCTTTGCCTTGCTTAATCAGATTATAGGTCATCCCTTTGCTAGTTAGTCAGCTGTTGATGCTTTACTCATTGTCTAACACTCTTGGTCACCTGCAGAGACTTATTATCTGACTTTCCACTCACGCTAGTTGTATGATCTTTTCATCTCTGTCCACAAACTCTCCCTGTGTGCTCTTCTGTCTCTCTGCACCTGACGAAGGAGTTGTGCTCTGAAAGCTTGCAATTTCAAATAAATCAGTTGGATTATAACCTGGTGTCATGTGACTTCTGACTTTGTCCATACCAGTCTAACACTGGTACCTCCACGTCATGGTTAACAGTGAAAATATGGAGTCTTATTCCTCTACCTTTCAATTATTGGACATTTTCCTCTAGCGTTCTTAATCCCATCTTCCTTTCCACTGTATAACCTCAGCAAGATTTCTGCAGAAGGGTCCATACCCGAAACGTCAGCTTTCCTGCTCCTCTGATGCTGCTTGGCCTGCTGTGTTCATCCAGCTCTACACCTTGTTGTCTCAAAATTTCTTCAATTTGATTTGGTTACAATATGATTACTTGACCTGTTCCCCAGATTTCCTGTAGAGGGCAATGCACTGTTCCCAATTTCTGACTTCTGCAAGTTGCAGTTAATAAAACTCGCAATCAGAGGGTGCATGGAAAGAACCAGTGATCTTCAATCACTGCTGACCACAACATCCAGATTTCATCTGGCGCTTATCAAACTGTCAAACATGGTTCACAGATGAGCTTTAGACCCTATGTCACCTTCAGCTGCAAATTCACTTATTTCCATGTATTTCATACTCCCATCTGTTTTCTTCCCCTTTCTTGCCACCCTACACATTACGTCAGTTGTCATGTGTAGTAACACCTAATACTGGGTACTCGTCTTGTTACCAGTTGTCTAGATATCCATTCTTTCCACATTAAGCCCCACATGATGCTCAACACACTATTTGTAATCCCTCTTTACCTCTTTAAATAACATTATTGCTTGACACCACCCTTACCTGTATACCGTTGCCCACCTGGACATCTTTTTTCAGCTGTTCCCACCTGGGCATCTCACTGTCCTCCTCTTCCTGATGTTTGAAGGCAGACTTCTGATGGTTTTGTCTGAGTTTTCATATTTTATGGAATTCTCTCTTAATTCCTTTGTTCTCCAATCCATTGTAGACTTTTTTCAAACATTGTTAGTTTCCTTTATTGGTCTTGCTTTGACTTTTATCAAAACTGTCCTATGGTTAATATTCATGCTCCTTTTTTTTATTTTGTAAAATGCTTTGAAAATTTTTGCAAAGTGTTACAAATGCATGTTGTAAAATGAGCTAAACTATTGTTAGCAGTGCTGATTAAGATTAATCATAGAATCCCTAGATGTGGAAGCAGGCCATTTGGCCTATCAAGTCCACACTGACCCTCTGAAGAGCATCCTGCCGAGACCCACCCCGTTCTCTACCTAGACACTATGGGTAATTTGGCAAAACCAGTCCACCTAACCTACACGTCTTTGGGCTGTGGGAGGCAACCAGAGCACCCAGAGGAAACCTATGCAGACATGGGGAGAATGTGCAATCTCCACAAAGATTCCAGCCTTGGGCGACTGGAATCGAACCTGGGTCCCTGGCGCTGTGAGGCAGCAGTGCTAACCACTGAGCCACCGTGCTGCTCTGAAAATCCAACACCCCATTTAAGCAGGGCTGATAAAGCTTTTATTTGTATAGTGTCTTACTGCAAATGCTGGATATTAAGAGTACTTCTCTTTTGAAAGCCATTGGTTTTTTAAAATCATCTTTTTGATGAGTGTGTCACTAGGTCAGCATCTGTTGTACATCCTTAATTGTCTTGGTGAGCTGCTTTCTGGAACCACTGATGGTGAGCGACACTTTCAGTGCTGTTGGGTAGGGAGTTCCAGAATTTTGACCCTGGAACAGTGGCATACTTCCAAGTCAGGATGGTGTGTGGCTTAGAAGAGAACTTGCAGGTGAAGGTGCTCCTGTACATCTGCCTTCTATTGGTTGAGGCCATGGGTTTGGGAAATTCTGTTGGAAGGACCTTTAGTTATTGCAACTCACCTTGTAAATGATGTACGGTCTGCTGCTTTGGTAAAGGGAGTGAATGTTGGAGTTGGTGCATGGGCTCCCAATCAAATAAATTGCTTTGTCCAGGATATTGTCAAGTTTATTGAAGCTTTGCTCATCAGATAGTTAAGAATATTCTATCACAGTCTTGACTTGTGCATTTTAACATGATGTTGTGATAAAGTACATCATGGGTAGTCTAGTCCAGAAAATAAATTGAATTGATTTTGGCAGCCACACAGTAGATTAGCTGGCTGAGTTGGGGTCGGTGGGAGGAGGCATAGGGTCTGTGTTGTGGTGCTTTCACAGATCACTCTGGAGGGAAGTTGATATGGCAATGTGCACTTTTACATGTTGTAGCCAGGAGCTGTGGTGTGACAGATTAGGAATCTCTCTCCTGCTGTTACTGCCTGTCATTCATATCTGTTGGTACATGCAACTGGGAATTATTCTGAATGGAAGGACGTACAAGATGCAGTCCCACAGTGAGCTGGGCTTAACCAGCTATGATGAATTTACATCGAATAGGGATGTGGGCAGAAATTTCCCAGATGCAATCTTAATACAGATAACTATATTTTTATATTTTGGAAATACAGGACAGCCAAAGAAATATAGGATAAGCAGGGAAATTATTCTTCTCTTTAACTAGTATTGAGACTTATTGGCTTAATGTTAAATTGCAAAAGACAGAATGTAGGTCCAAAAATACCATCCTCAATTGAACAATGCCAAAGCCATTGAATTCTGTACAATTTTGGTACTTGCTCTTTAAGAATGATATGGCTGAGCTAAGCAAGGTGCCGTGAAGAATTAATGTATAAGGAAGCTGAGACAAAATGTGTTCACTGCGTTGGATTTCTCGGTGAAGCAGAGGTTGGGAGGTGGTTCAAGATTTTCAAATGAATAGACTCTGATGTCAAGGGCCAGTTGGTACCAACTGCTGTTAAGCAACGCACCTGAGGGGAAATGACTAAGGTGAGAACAGGTTTACTTAGGTAGGTTGGATGGGTGGCAGGGGAAGATCTGCTTTAGGGAAAATATTGCGGAGGAAAGTTGCTGGGACAATACTTTTTTGTAAATAACAAAGTTCGGCAAGTTTCTTTGGATGAGAATTTCCATAAGCTGCAGATGCTGGGACTCAAAGGGTCTTCTAATCACTCTTTATTGATTACGTGGAAACTGGAAGATGACTTGGGTTTCGAGAAATGTAATGTAATGGAGGAGCATATTCCATTGACTGGCTCATTCCTCTTTGTAGAGAGATGTCATTCCCTCAGAACTTTGAGGTGACAATAACATGTTTTTGTTACAGCTGTTTAATCTCCCTGATAACTCCATCTGTTCAGACAGCCCCATAATCATGGTCTTTTGCAATGTGCTCTGTCATGTGTACCCTCTGTTAGTTTTTCTTGTATGGCTCATGCAAACCTAGCTAGATACTTGAAAATCCTGTTGAGACTCGTTGCCATGTTTAAGCGTCAATGCTAATGTTCCTGCTACTCCAGCTAATTTACGTTCAAATGTAACACCCAATCCTCCTGTCCTTTGGGAGGATCCTAAACTGTTCAGGTACATAGTTTTTTCTACATCTTGCTACTGTTTACTCTCAGCCACTGCGGTAAATAGCTTGTGCTGATTCATTTTTCGTTCTTGCCAGAACAGAACCTTCCTCACTCCACTTCCTGTTTGATGACCCTTTTCTTACTGTACACAGTTGCCTCTTTGATCTTTCCACTTGAAATTCTGTCAAAACGATCACAATCCATCACTGACTGCCCAGGTTTGTTTTTTTTGAGTAATGCCCCCATTCTCCAACAAAACACTTTTGCCTTAGAAGGCAGCTGTCCTGTCCCCCAACACCATCAAATGTTGTACATTTTCCCACTCCACCTCTATTTTAGTCTTTTCAGGCATTCAGTTACATTGTGGCTGACCTGTCTTAATCGCTTCTATGCACCTTGGTTCCATCACCCTTGATATCCTTCTCTAGCGCTGCTCAAGCCCTGACCTTCATTTTCCAGAGTCCAAGCAAGCATTCACTATTGCCTCAATAGCAGAACTAGCATTCCTGTACCATTTTGCATTCAGTCCTAATTTCTGCACTGGTCATAGTGCTAAGTTTGCAACAACCAAAGTAGCATTTGATCCTGTGCAATTGTCACTGCCTTTCAGTCTCTTATCAGCTATTCCTCTGTTGCATTTGAGATTGTTGGGATAACCCATCCATTTCTTCCATTTCTCTTCTGCAGTCCCGTCTCCACTGCACCACTTTTATCCTCAAGTATTCCAAAACAGCAATGTTTTCTGCTTGTCTGGTCATGAAAGTGTGCTTTCCCTTACTGACTCATTCTGGTCTCTATTTAAAAGCCTCGAGGTTTGATAGGATTTCCTCTGATAAATGGGCATGTCAATGATTTGTGAAGTGTAATGTATGATGTAAGATACCACAGTTTTTTTTTCTTTCACAACTGCCAGTACTGTGCAGAGAGTTGTTTTCTAAATTCTTTTTATTCATTTTGCTTTCAGGTTGACTCTTGGTGCAAAGAAAATAACTACGTAATAGCAGGATATTATCAGGCAAATGAGCGTATGATGGACACCAGGTATAAATGTTTTGATGGATGTGGAGTGAGCTATATTGTACCAACAAATTTTAAAAGTTTTAAGCTTGAGTTTTAACTAAAATGTTGTCAGATCTTCATGTTTCCCTGCATATTACCCTCCTTGATTATGGAGGATGGGCGATCAGTTCCTGTGAATAAGATTCAACAATTAATGTACCTGAGATGTACAAAAACAACATGCTCAGTTTGGTTTCCTGTTTGTTCCTAGATTATGTAGTCAAGAGGTGGGGGAGATGATTCAGAAGCTCAATAGTTTTTAAAAAAAAAAACTATATCCCATGAGCTTAGCATGCACTACTTGAGTCACTGTTTGTTCCTTCATTTTTGTTTTGAGTTGCAGGTGCTTGAAGGGTTATGTAACTTTGCCACAGTTCATACTTTGTAATACTTGAAGTACCTGTCGTTACAATACGTTGACTGATAAAGCAGGAATGATTCCTGGGCTGGGTGCTAGCAATTTGCAGGAAGCAGTGAAGTGGAGAGGTTACAAAAGTAATAGGTGTCTTTTGGCATTTTTAACGGGCAGTGCTCTACATGGTAGGAACTTGGGGTGGATTAAGGATCTCCCAAACTTTGCTAATGTTTCTGCAGTTTCATGTACAGCCTTTGCTTGTTCTGACAGGCAGCTGCCCAATATTTAGTTACACAAAAGGTTTGTTACGGAGAATGTTGTAATTAATGCCAAACCAGAGGAACACATGCTTATTGTGTGATCCAAGTATTCAGGGTTTTTGTGTCGGTAAACTGAGCCCAGCTTTTTAATGTTCTAAAGGGCTAGATGTGGACCAGGACCAGACGTGTGCTGGAGTTGGCTCCTGTGACTATTATTTAACAATCACTGAACCAATTCAGTTGTTTGCTCAGTGGTGTTGTCAAAGGCCTGAGACCAACTTGTATTTCTGTTATGAGCTTTATTAAACCATTTTTTTAAAATGGTTGACATGCTAAAATATTACTGTCTGAGAAATGAGTCTTAATGGGATGTGAGAAATACTTGAGTAGCCCTCAGCATGACACCATACATTGCATGTTTTGTATCAGATGTTTTGATTGTGGTATAATTCTGAAGGCTTCATCCTACAATGAAACCACTGCTGCATTTGCACTCAGCAACGTTTAATCCAAGTGTTCTTTTTGTGCCTTCATTATCAATGTAAATGTTTTAGCCTTTCACCCTGTTCTCCAATGTAAGGCTCAGTATTGTCCCTGTTTCTTTATAGATTTGTCTTGTACACCTCCTGCACAGGCTGCTTGCCCAGAATATAGGTGGGAGGCATAAAAAAATTGGGAGGATGTGACAAATAGTCACACTGTTTTTGACGTCTGAACTTAAAGACTTAAGTGGCTTAGCAGTTTATTGATCTTCCCTCTTTGGGACTGTGCTTCAAACCATTGCCTCCTCTGAGGATCTTATTGTGAAATAGGTTCCTAGTAGGTACAGATCCACAGTCGGAGATCCGGCTGCACCCTTGGCAGTTTACTCTGGTTAAATCAATTTATGAAATGGGAATAATCGCATTGCTACAAGACTGAATTTTGGAATAGTTTGACATGAGTATTCAATAGTGCCAATGAGTGTCCAGTATTTCTGGCCCCAACAGTGATGCCTTGTACATTACTGACCCCAGTTTCAAAAACCCTGCAGTATTTGTCAGGCTGATGGGTTTTGTTGTAATCTCCTTTTCATTTTTGTTTGCAGTCCAAACCAGGTTGCTGAAAAGGTTGCCTCTCGGATTGCAGAAAACTTCAGCGATGCTGCCCTAATCATGGTACAGTATTGTGCGAACTCTAGTATGTCTTCCTGCATAAGTCACACAGGACTTGTTAGTTCAGTGTGTTTACTTTCAAGACAGTTATTTAAATTTCAGTTATGGGATACTGTTCTTTGAAAAGTATTCAAATTTGGATTGAAGTTCTGCTTTTGAACTTGATCATATTTGAAACACAACCTCTGGATTTCATTTCCACTCTGGTAGATCTTCATGGGCACTGGGGCAGGGTATTAAATTACTGCAAGCACTTGCAGCTCAGCAAGTCTAAGCGCTTTCAATAGACAGTGAGCTGGTATTAGAGAAGTGAGAACTAAGGTTTCATCCATTTCAAATGTGATTCTACAGGGTTGTCTGTAATATTGACGTCTTGTCCTTTTTTTTAAATAGGTGGACAATCACAAATTTACTATGGAGTGTGAAGAACAATCGATTATAGTGTATGAGCACCATGAAAATAAATGGCGATGCAAAGACCCAAACATGTGAGTTTTTTTTCCTGCCAGTAAAACAGATTAGAGCATGGAACTTGTTTTGGACAATTTATTGTTACACACGGTAGGTTTTTTGTGCTTGGTTTACAGTCAGCAGTGGCTTAGTGAGAGCATTCTTTGAATCAGAATGTTTTAAGTCCTATCTACAGACTTGAGCAGAAAATCTGAAGCATTGCAATGTCCAATAACATTTTATACTGAAGGGTATACGGCCCCTCAAATTGGTGTTCTCTAAAGAACGCCAGAATTCAGAGTTCAGCCAGTGTCCTGGCCCTATTTATATCTTCACTAACATGACTTAAAGAGAATTTAGTATGTGATTTTACCATTGCTATTTGTGGGATCCTTACGTGCAAATCGGCTGCCAATTTTTCCCACATTGTCACTGCACTTAAAATATACCTCATGGCTGTGAAATGAGTTGAGATGTCTGAGGTTGTGAATGGAGCTTGTTTGAATGCAAGCTCTCTTTCTATTCCTTAGAAGTGAAAGCTAATGGATCACTTCTAGTATAGATATGAATAGTTTACACAGAATAAGCACATGTACAATTTATCCTTGTGCATTCTGCAGAACAGCCACTTGAAGAAATCGGGGAAACAGCCTGAATTAAATTATCAGTGGAAATTGATAATCAAATAATTTATAAAATTATGATCTAGGATTTGCTAACTAGAATGTTTGCTGCTAACTTGAATAAGTCAGTGCCTGCCTCTAGAAAAAAATCGTAGGTGCATCTGCTCCTGTTCAGAATTCTAGGGATCAAGTAATTTCTCTTTGAATTTTCTGGATTATAGAATGCCCTAACCACAAATGGGTGAGCTGGAAAGCACTGTACATCTAAATATTTACCTGAACCATTAAATGATTAAATGTTACATATCACAAATCAAAAAAAAGTTTAAAATAACAACAAAAGTCCTGAAAATGCTCAGTGGGTTTGCAGCATCTATGGAAAAAGAAACTTAACTTTTCAGGTCTTTGATCTTTCAGAATTGGACAAAGATGCATATGTTGAGCAAGGGATGGGTAGCACAAGGATGAGAGATGGGAGAGATTCCATGACACACAAGCTAGCCTTCTAGGCTAAAGGTGATGGGGTATGAAAAGAAACAAAGGTGTGCCTGGAGCAGGTGTGCTGCTGACTGGAACCAAAACAAATGAAAGACACAAACAAGCCATTCTGCTCTGCAGAATGCTACCGTTTGCTCTACAAACCTGACCATGAGTTTTTGGGTATTTTGATTTTCTATTGTGCTCTTAGAATTAGAATTAGGTTTATTGTCACATGTACTCATGTGAGTACAGTGAAAAGTTTACAAGCCGTCACTTGCAGCAGCATCTTAGGTACAAATGTACCTAGGTACAGATTCTTAAGTACAAATTCTTAGGAAAAAGTTAGATAAATAAGTAAAAAGCCTACCATTACAGACCTTTTGCAGCATTTTTAGCTACAAAGTACAAAATCATAGGAATAAATTAGACAGAAATAAAGTTCAGAATAACAGTCCTTCAAACCCAGGAGTCCGCTCTGGATTCACCTAGAGGCTGGGATCAGCACTGAGGCCAAAATGTGGCTTTCAGAATTTCAGACCATAATCTCAGCCCCATTTGTTTCCTGTTCCTTTGTTCCTTTGATATTTTTTTCCCTGCTTTCCGCCAGCAACACAGTAGTAATAAGCACTTTTTGTTTGTTTTTTCTTCATGATCTTCATTCCCTTTAGGTGTAGGGAACTATGTCTCCTGTCTTCCACCCTATCACTGACCTTCCTTTTAATCCTCTTTACACCCACACCTTTTAAAGTGTTACATTTCTACTTTTCCAGCTTCTAAAAGGATCACATACCTGAATTGTTAACTACATCTTTCTCGACAAATATTGTCTAATCTGACGACTAACTGTTTCCATCCATTTTATATCAGATGTCTGGCATCCACTATTTACTTTTTGATAATGGAACATTTTTACTGATCCAAATACAATATCTTCCACATTTCTGTGACTGAAGTACTGTACTAAAACAATGCTGTGGGTGCACTCAATTTCCAAGGAACAGATCTTCCCAAATAATGGGTTTCTGGACCGAAGAGATTTACCTTGAGGGCCTCTGAATTTACTCTCCTGCTGCCTTCATTTTTGTCAAGGTTACTTTTAGGTTTTTTAAAAGAAAAGCCTTTATTGTCTATGCTCAATAACACTGGAAGATGCATTTGGTCAAACATAGTATTATGTAAGTTTCTAGCCGTGTCCTAATCTTAATTCGCCACATGCAAGATTACACCTTCGGTTTCATAAAAACAATTGCAAGAGTATATGGAGAAATCCATGCTCATTTCAATCATTTGCAGAAATAAACTCGTGATATGGTTTCTGTAGTGAACACTTTTTTTTAAAACAAATAAGCAGGATATACTGCTTGAAGTAACAAGTAAAGTATTAAGCACTGACCTTCATGTGGTGGATGTTTCTAATTTCGAAAATAGAATGTCTAAGATGAGAATGAGTGGAGAAGCTGTTTAGCATTTGTCTCTTTAAATGGAAAGTAGTTGAAGGTAAACAGATTTTTTTATTTAAAGGCTGAAAGTATCTTTCAATGCATGAAAGAAGCAGAAGGCAACATTTTTGTTGAATTTGGTTTAATTGAATCTGACAACTGTTGGATCCTGAAAACCTATCTCTGTCAGATGTTGTAAACCACTATCAATCTCCAACAATTTAAAAATTCTATGGAATTTTTAACTGGTGTTTGAGTTCTTTATTTTGGGAATTTTTTTTTTCTTTCAATAAAAGGAATTTTCTTCCATGTTTTGAAGGGAAGAAAATTGGTTAGTACTTGGACATTTTAATTTGAATTTTGACTCTATGAAGAGGGAAACACCTTCTTCAGGGATAACAGGATTGTAAGTAGATATTCCCCATCACCCATTGTTGATACCACCTGCAATGAATCTTGCACTTCCAACTTGTCATGTTTTGTGTGCATTTGATTTTATTTTTCCTTTTGCAGTGATTTTTGTGAAGATTGGTCAGAGGTACAGCGAATCACAAACTGTCTCCTGGATGGTAAATCCTATGACTCCTTAGTGGATTTTGATAACCACATGGATGATCTCAGGAATGACTGGACAAATCCAGAGATTAACAAAGCTGTTCTTCACCTCTGCTGAGACAGCTTTCTAAGAATGTTCTGGGCATTTTTTTGATAGCTGGGGACCTGCAGCCGCTTCTGACTGCAAAGAGTGACCCTTAATGAATGTGAAACCTGATGAGTGCTGATACTAAAGAATGGAAACAATAAGCACACCAGCTTACTGTGCTAAGAGATAAGATTTATGCCTTCTGATAATTGAGCCATGGATCTCTTGGTATTCACAACAGGACAATAAGTTTGATGAAATCACATTTTTTAGTTAAATAGTTTCAGTCATAAATCAAACTTTGGGTATTTCAAAAGGAGACAAGTGAATTATGTGTAATTTTTTAACACTTGCACCCTCAACATTTTTGTCTGTTTAAAATGAAATACTTTTAGAATATTTGATTAAATGAAAGTTTAAACTTCTCGACTGAATATCCTGCAGCATGTTTGGTTAATTTCATTACTGTAGTTGCTAATATGGTTCAGCCCCAATTTAAGATTAGACTCCAGTTAATTTGCAAATAAATGGGTGGGGAGGTAACAGGAAAAGACCTCCACTAATTTTTCTCACTAAAATAATGGAATTATTTTTGCCATGCAGCTTAAGCCCATATGAAACATAAACTTTCTTACCTAGACACAGGTGCTCAAGATTGAATAACAGTCATGGATGCAATTGCATTTTATACAAAGGTGCAATGGTGTATGTTACGAGAAAATTAACTGTAAAATTGACAGTGATTTGAACTTAATACAATAACTGTACTTAAAGTACTTCACTGGGTGTAAAACAATTTGGAAAGTTCCAACATTGATTTATACAATGTATTTCACGATCTCAAATGTTTTCACATTTGCAAAATATTTAATACAGTTAGATCTTTTTGATTTGTAACTGAACTCCTAGATATAACAGCACTGAAGCTTGAACATTGAATTCTTGAAATTGCACTCAACATAGCAAGTCACTGGCTTCATAACCATGAGACATCTGTATGAATAACGGTCCTATCGTTATGTATTGTAAAAATGTTAACATTTTTATTTAAAGCTCCATGAATGAAACCATTTTACAATAAAATACCATGCAAGTTTAGTTTCAAAAGCACTATAGTTTATATTCAATGAGAAACTAGTTTCATGTTTTATCAACTGTGCTTTATTATTTACCAGCCAGCATAATGCATATTGCAGTGTCTGTATTTTATTTGTCATATGAGCAACTGACTTGAGCATAATTTTTTATGTTGAACAAATTCCATGGTACGGGATTGATTTACCATTTTTTTGAGTTTATTCAGGATAAAGTTGGCTTTAACCTGTAATTATTTTGGTAGCTTGAATTTATTCTGGCCATTTTGAGCACGGGGCAAAGCTTTCAAAATATAGTTTTCTGTCTTCATTCCTCATCTCCGATGGTTAATACTGTATCACCAAGTAATAAGCTAAACGGTACAAATATTTGAGGGGTTGAATTTAATTTAAGGTGCTACTGTAGTTCTTGTGTAGTTTGATACCTTTCCATAACCCATTGTGTAAGCCTGAGCTTTGTTTTGTTTAACTGTTCCATTTGTTTTGAAGGTCACTAATGGGTTTTACAACTCTGGCCCACATCTGATTATGTAGTCAGATTTGTAATACTTTCTGAACAGTACCAAAAAAACAACACAAAATCCAAATATTAGTACGTAGCATGTCTTTGTCTTTGAACTAATGCCCTTTACAAATTCTGCATATGTGTTTTTTTTAAATATAAATGCACTAGAATGTTCCAAGTCTTCAGAAATGAACGTATTTCTGTTTCTGTGGCAGCTTGGGAGATGAACAGTGGAAACAGACTGCACTCTGCTACTCATTTAAAACAATTTAAAACTAAAGGCATGTATTTGCATTCTTATTTTTTAAAATCACTGCCTCCATCCTTTAGATAATTTTCATTTAAGCAAGGCGGCCAGCAGTTGAGCTGTCTTTAGCCTTGTGACCAACTACTTTCAGACATTTGATTGTAAAAATGCAAAAATAATCCAGCAAATTTCCCTATGCTACTATGTGGAGAATTTTAAACAGGGGTTCCGATCAGATTACAGCACATCTAAGCACTGATGTATTGTCTCCCTGCTGCCTACATGTCAGGCATCGTAATTCCAATCAGTATTTGTAAAGTTATTGTTTCAGGGTATTAGAAAAGATTATTTTCAAGCTCTTTGCTTGTGAGACACATGCTTCTTTTGGAATTCAGAGGCTGCCTGGTAGCAATGAATTGGAGAATTTTTAAACTTCCTCAGGATAGGAGCCTGCCCATTTCTGAAAATGGTCCATCATGGCAAGTTGCTGGGAAGTTGCATTTGCTTTTACTATTGTTGAAAGCACATTGCAACATGCTTGTTGAAATGTATTCCTGGCAGATTTGCATTACTGAGTTTGCTCTGCAATTTTATTGTCGTGGGAAGTCATGAATGTTCACAGAACACTATCCAGATACACTGCTTCAGTTGCACTCCTTTGAGGGTGTTTGGAAGAATTTTTAATGTTTACTGTGTAGCTTGTCTTTTCCTTTTGATGCTGAGTGACCTGGTATGTTTCTGGCACGGCTTTTTATTTCAAATTTCACGGAGTTGATTATTGTTCTTTTTAAATACGATAGCTCTACTGATTTTATTTCCAGAGAACTAGCCCTTTAAAACAAGTGCAGTGCTCACCTGGATCAGTTTTGTGATGGTGTTATTCTTTACAGGAACCACCAAATTCAATTCTTCTTGCCTATGACAGTGTCCAGCTCTGCTGTCTCAAACCCTGGCAGGACAGTGGACATGAGCCTTGTTCTGCAGTCACCTCATGCAGTTGAAATCTTTTTTTTTTTTTAATTTCTGTTTTAGTGCTGTGGTAACATTTTCAACTCCTGAATCTGATGGTTATGTTTGCAACACACCACAGACCTCCACCACCTTAGCTGACAATTTGAAGTATTGCATCAGTAGTGTACTTTAGCAGCAGCATTTTGTAGATTAATGTTAGAATCCCGAGCTTCCTCCATCCCTTGGGTTGTTGTTTCTAAATTTAAAAATCTTTTCACACATAAAAATAAATCCAGGCTCTTCTTTCAGCATTTATCCCTCAAGCTCCCAGGATATTTTTTTCACCTGGTTATTTGAGGCCTCGTGCAAATTGCTGCATTTCTCTACAGCAGTGACTGTGCTCAATTATCAGTCAAGAGACTTGGGATGCCCCATTGTTGTGAAAGGCACTATATCAATGCAACTTTTTTTTGTATGCTATAATGAACTGCTACATACTAAATGAGATGCGATTATTTTCACATCCGTTTAATTTTATTTCCAAGTCTTTATGTACAAAAGCTCTTTGTATCTAGGTACCTGTAAAATGTGGACTGTGTAATTAGTTTATTCTCTTGTTAGAATTTGGTCCAAATGAATCGTATCGAAACACAATTTTTTAAAATCTCTCAGACCATCCAAACTTGATGGGCATAGTCTAATATAGCTGACTGGAGTAGACGTGGTGATGAGGTAGTTAGGAGAATGAGCATGAGTGCCCACATCTGAAACGTAGTATGTAAGAACAAGTGTAGGCCATTTCGTCCATCAAATCCGTTCTGCTGATCATCTTTCTCAACACTATTCCAGCTCCCTTTGTACCCCTTGAAGCATTTGTTTCCAGAAACCTGTTTTGTTTCGACTTGCCCTGTATCCTGAGATAATGCCTTCTTGTTCTAGATCACCAGCAAGGGAGAACATTATCCTGTATCCAGTCTAGACAGACTATCAATTTTATGTTTCAGTCAGATTCTTTCTTCTTCTAATCACCACTGACTATATGCCAAGTCAACTCAATCTCACCTTGAATGACAAATCAGAATGTGCCTTCATTGAACTTTCTTTGTCAAGTAGATCTTTTCTTCGATGCAGAGACTGAAACCGCACACACTACTCCAGATGGTCTCAGCAAGGCCTTGTACAACTGCAGTGAAACATCCTTGCTCCTGTGCTGAAGTCCCCTTGTAACAAATGGCAACATAATGTTTGATTTATTAACTGCTTGCTGAACCTGCGTCTGATTGAAAGTGTCAGAAAACTATACTTAATTTAGTAGGGGATGAGGGTACTGTCAATTAGTCTCATTAATGAGACACCTAAAGCCACTTATTGCTGAGTGTACAGGCATTCAATGGTGGTCAGTTGTATGGATGCCCCACTCTTCTCAAAGACTAAAGAGCAAACTCTGGCTCAGTGATTAGTCTGTTTCGGTTGCCTGCTGACAGGCGTTCATCCTGTGGGTGCTGAAGGTCATCTTTCTGCCCTTGAATCTGACCCCATTGCCAGGAGCATTGATCATCTTTTACCCCTCCCCAAGCAATGCAGCTGTGATCTAGTGTGATCCCTGATAAAGGCCTCTGCATTACCAGCAGCAGTCACTGCTGTTAATGCTGGCCAATTGTCCGATTATCTAAGAGACCTAATGCTAGTCCAGCGTGGAGTCAGTGGCTACCATTAATTCTCCCGCTGGCTGGAGGGGTGGGTACGGACACTCCTATTGCAATAACTAAATTCTACCTAAAAACATGTTGTTCCTTTTTGTTACAAAAGTCTTTAATACACAAGGTTGTTTGAACATGCAATAGGTTGCCAGAAGGGTTGGTTGAAGCTGAACCTGCTGTAAACGTAAAGGACAGTTGTTTCAAATATTTATGCAACTCAAGAGAAGTACAAGATAGTGAGAATCTGTTCCAATTGCTCAAGCACATGTCAAACATGCTCCTCTATGGTAAATGGTTATGTATCTAAATTCCCACAGCCCTTAGATCCAAATTTGATGAAAGTGATGGTTGTACAAGTAATTGACTAAGAAGCCTGAGTATCAATCTCCATCTTGCTTGTTGCTTGCATTTGTGTACTCCGCAAGGGATGGGTTCCATCTTTTGCAATTGCACTTAGATATCACTACCTGCTGAATTGTCTTGAGGATGTTGTAGTATCTTGTTGATTTTGGTCAGGCTGGACCTGTATCTTGCTGCCTGTGTAGGTTAATATCTTCAATAACCTTGTGACTAATGGATTCCTCAAGTCCAAGTGTCAACCTCCATTTTACTGAGCATCTTCTCAAATGGGTAAATTTCTAATGTGGCAATTTAAGGATGTTTCATTGTAATTCGCTAACATTAATGCTGTCACCTTTTAAGACTGTGATGAAACCTCAATAAAGAATTGAAATGGAAATTTGACATGATTTGCTAAAGGTGCTACAAGGATGAATTTCAAGTTGGATAATTCAGCATTAAAAGAATCTGGAGTTCTATATTTATTTGTAAATTTGAAGAGCCTGGATTGAATATCAAGCCACAAAAAAAAATGTATAAATGCAGGAGTTAAATCAGATGGAAAAACTGTCAGTAATAAGAAAAAAGCAAAATACAACAGAAGTGGAAATCAAAAAGGCCAGAAATACTTATTGTTGTGTGGAGAGTATTAAGATTTTAAGTTTCATCTTTTGTCAGAATTGCACAAACATTGAAGAGAACTGTTTTAAATCAGTACTTCTGTTGTTCTTCCCCACCCTTATCTTTTTTAAGCTTCTCTGCTAGCTTAAACTCAGTTATTGGCCTGAGACGTGAACATTTTTCCTTCTCCACAAATGGTGTGTGTGTTTCCACCTTCTTGTGTTGTTTTTATTCCTCTGACAGAACATTCAAACATTGCTAATGGCATGTTTGGTTTCTGAGTTGCATAAGAACTGGATCTGGAATGCAACAATTGAGCTTTTGAGGTAAGGGGCCACTTTGAGCTGAAGACAGGAGGAAAGACACCAAATTGCTGCTTCAGTTCCCATTATAGTGTCTCCTGGAAAGCACAGGGGCTGTGCTGATGCGTTATAGTCCACTGATTATCTGTACTTTACAGAGAACATGAGGTACTGATGTGGGTGGGAAAGAACATCTCTAACAATACTAGAACTTAATTATTTCCAGATAATTATATTCAACAAGCTTGGGTATTTCCAGTAAGGCTGAGGGATAACTTCATAAGTTTTTTTTACTATTTAAGCTTCTAATAATTTTGGTCAATGTCCAATTTGTGGGAAGAGCAAACTCCA